TATCTTAATTTTTTTTCCACAATGGTAAATAGGATTGTTTGCTTAGTTTCTCTTTCTGTGAGTTCATCCTTGGTGTATAAGAATGCCATCAATTTCTTGACATTAATTTTGTATCCTGCTACTTTGCCAAATTCATTTATTAAGTCTAGTAAACTTTTGATGGAGTCTTTGGGGTTTTCTATGTATAGTATCATGTCATCTGCAAATAATGACAATTTCACTTCCTCCTTTCCAATTTGGATCCCTTTTATTTTTTCTCCATGTCTAATTGCTGTGGCTAAGACTTCCAGTACTATGTTAAATAGGAGTGGCAAAAGTGGGCATCCTTGCCTTGTTCCTGTTCTTAAGGAAAATGCTTTTAGTTTTTGCCCATTGAGTATGATGTTGGCTGTAGGTCTTTCATATATGGCTTTATTATGTCTAGATCTGATTCCTCTATTCCCACACTGCTGAGCATTTTTATTAGAAATGGATGCTGGATTTTGTCGAAGGCTTTTTCAGCATCTATTGATATGATCATGTGGTTTTTATTCTTCATTTTATTTATGTGGTGTATCACGTTTATGGATTTGCGAATATTGTACCAGCCTTGCATTCCTGGGATGAATCCCACTTGGTCATGGTGGATAATTTTTTTGTTGTATTGCTGGATCCAATTTGCTAGTATTTTGTTTAGGATTTTGGCATCTATGTTCATCAGGGATATTGACCTGTAGTTTTCTTTCTTTGTTGTGTCTTTTTCTGGTTTTGGAATTAGAATTATGCTGGCTTCATAAAACGAGTTTGGAAGTCTTCCTTCTTCTTGAATTTTTTGAAATAGTTTGAGGAGAATGGATGTTAGTTCTTCTTTGAATGTTTTGTAAAACTCCCCCATGAAGCCATCCGGGCCTGGGCTTTTGTTTGCTGGGAGAGTCTTGATTACATCTTCAATTTCTTCTGTTGTTATTTGTCTGTTCAATTTTCCTGTCTCTTCCTGATCTAGTTTTGGGAGACTATGTGTTTCTAGAAATTTGTCCATTTTGCTTAGATTGTTGAATTTATTGCCATATAATTGTTCATAGTAGTTGTTAACGATCTTTTGTATTTCTGTGGTGTCAGTTGTTATCTCTCCTCTTTCATTAATGATTCTGTGTATTTGGGTTCTCTCTCTTTGTGTCCTGGTTAGTCTAGCTAAGGGTCCATCAATCTTGTTTATCTTTTCGAAAAACCAGCTCTTTGTTTTATTGATCCTTTGAATTGTTTTTTTTTTTTTTTTTTGGTCTCTATGTCATTTATTTCTGCTCTGATATTTACTATTTCCTTCCTTCTACTTGCTCTGGGGTTTACTTTTTGTTTGCTCTCTAGTTGTTTAAGTTGTGAATTAAGATAGTCTATTAGAGATTTTTCTTCCTTTTTTAGGTAGGCCTGTAGTGCTATGAATTTCCCTCTCAGAAGTGCTTTTGCTGCATCCCATAGATTTTGTGTTGTTGTGTCTTCATTTTCATTGGTTTCCAGGAAGTTTTTTATTTCTTCCTTGATCTCCTCGGTGACCCATTTATTGTTTAATAACATGCTATTTAGCTTCCATGTGTTCAAATGTCTTTGTATGTTCTTCTTGCAATTTATTTCTAGCTTCATGCCATTGTGATCTGAGAAGATGCTGGATATGATTTCAGTCTTCTTGAACTTGTAGAGACTTAGTTTGTGCCCTAACATATGGTCTATCTTTGAGAATGTCCCATGTGCACTTGAGAAGAATATGAATTCTGTAGTTTTAGGGTGTAGTTATCTCTAGATATCTATTAAATCCATTTGGTCTAGTGCTTCATTTAAAGTCTCTGTTTCCTTGCTAATTTTTTGTCTAGAGGATCTATCCAGTGATGTCAGCGGGGTGTTGAAGTCCCCTGCTAAGATTGTATTGCTACTGATTTCTCCTTTGAAGGCCTGCAGAAGATTTTTAATATATTTCGGTGCTCCTATATTGGGTACATATATGTTTATCAAGGTTATATCTTCCTGTTGGATAGATCCTTTCAATATTATGTAGTGGCCTTCTTTGTCTCTAGTTTTTGGCCTTAATTTTGAAGTCTATTTGATCAGATATGAGTATTGCTATGCCAGCTTTTCTTTGCTTTCCATTTGCTTGGAAGATTTTATTCCATCCCTTCACTTCCAATCTATGTGAGACTTTTGTTTGAGGTGGGTCTCTTGTAAACAACATATAGATGAGTCATGCTTTCTTATCCAATCAGCTACTCTGTGTCTTTTTATGGGAGCATTCAATCCATTTACATTTAAGGTGATTATTGATATGTACTTATTTATTGCCATTTTTGTTTAGTGTGGTTCTGTTTTTCTCCCCATTTCTCCTGCTAATTACAGCAGTCCTTTTAACATTTCTTGCAGTGCTGGTTTGGTGCTAGTGTATTCCCTTAGCCTTTTTTGTCTGGGATGCTCTTTATTTGACCTTCTATTTTGAATGATAGCCTTGCTGGGTAGAGTAGTCTTGGATTCAGATCCTTGTTTTTCATGACCTTGATTACTTCATGCCATTCCCTTCTTGCCTGTAGTGTTTCTTGTGAGAAGTCAACTGAGAGCCTTATGGGGTTTCCTTTGTAGGTAACCTGTTGCTTATCTCTTGCCGCTTTTAGGATTCTCTCTTTGTCTTTAACTTTTGGCAGTTTGATTACTATGTGTCTTGGTGTGGGCCTGTTTCGGTTCTTCTTACTTGGGGCTCTCTGTGCTTCTTGAACTTGAATGCCATTTTTCTTCACCAAATTAGGGTAGTTTTCTGTCACTATTTCTTTGAATATATTCTCTAACCCTTGCTTATTTCGTCTTCTTCAGGGACTCCTATGATGCAAATATTATTCCATTTCCAGTTGTCCCACAGTTCTCTTAAGCTGTCTTCCTGTTTTTTAATCCTTTTTTCCTTTTGGTTTTCTGATTGGTTGATTTTTTTCTAGCCTGTCTTCTAATTCACTGATCCGGTCCTCAGCTTCCCCTACTCTGCTTTTTAGACCTTCCAATGTGTTTTTCATTTCTGATATGTCATTCTTCATTTCTTCCTGTTGGTTTTTCATTTCCAGCTGGTTTATTTTCAACATTTCTATATCTTTACTAATGTTGCTCATGTCCTTACACATGCTGCTGAGCTTCCACAACATCATCGCTCTAAATTCTAGTTCTGTCAACTTGCTTAACTGCACCTCTTTTATTTCATCTTCTGTAGAGGTCTCTTGATCTTTCATTTGGCTTTTGTTTCTGTTTCTTACCATTTTGGTTATCACAGTGGGCTTTGGAGTCTGCCAAGTTTTCCCAGTGGGTGTTGGTGTTCTGCTGTTTGTGGCTCCCTCTCCTGGGTTTGGATGCACCAGGGAGGACCCACTTTAATCCCGCCAAGTCCCCTGTTCTCCGGGAGTCTGTGTGGCTCCAGCCGATATCTTAGCAGGCTACAGTGTTCCCAGGGCCCGTGCAGGGTGGCAAGGGAGGCGGTGGGAGTAATTTCCCCCTGAATTCCCTGGTACAGCCCAGTCTCCTGGTGCCCGCGAGTCTGTGGGCCTCAGCCGAGAGTTTAGCAGGCTACAGAGTTCCCAGGGCCCATGCAGGGTGGCAAGGGAGGCGGTAGGATTAACTTCTGGCCGAGTTCCCTGGCCCCGCCGAGTACCCTGGTCTTCGGGAGACTGTGCGGCTGCAGCCGAGAGCTTAGCAGGCTACAGAGTTCCCAGGGCCCATGCAGGATTGCAAGGGAGAGGGTAGGATTAACTTCCTGCCGAGTTCCATGGTCCCGCCGAGTTCCCTGGTCTCTGCGAGTCTGTGCGGCTCCAGCGGAGAGTTTAGCCGGCTACAGGGTTCCTAGGGCCCATGCAGGGTGGCAAGGGAGATGGTAGGATTAACTTCCCGCTGAGTTCCCTTGTCCATCCGAGTTCCCTGGGATCCGCGAGTCTGTGCGGTTCCAGTGGAGAGTTTAGCCGGCTACAGAGTTCCCAGGGCCCATGCAGGGTGGCAAGGGAGATGGTAGGATTAACTTCCCGCCGAGTTCCCTGGTCCCGCCGAGTTCCCTGGTCCTGCCGAGTTCCCTGGTCCTGCCGAGTTCCCTGGGGCCCGCGAGTCTGTGTGGCTCCAGCGGGGAGTTTAGTGGGCTACAGAGTTCCCAGGGCCCATGCAGGGTGGGAAGGGAGGAGGTAGCAGTAACTTCCTGCCGAGTTCCCTGGCCCCTGCCCAGGCTGCTGTGGACCCTGGGCTCTCGGTCCCCTCTCGCGTCCTCGCAAGCCTACCAGGATTGAGTGGGTGTTTCTGGTTAAGTGGTCCTCCAAGATGTCTTTTGGCTGCCCTTTCCTGACGGTTTGCCTTTATTTTCGTTGTAAATCCAGTTTGGTCTTGGGAGATAGACGATCTCCCTGTGTTGCTCCATTCACTTCGCCACCATTTTCCCAAGCCTCTGTCATCTTATATAGTAGATTTTGCTGATTCTCTTGACTGTTCATCGCTCTGTAGCTTGGTATATTCCAAAAGGCTTGAGATACTCAAATGAGTCTGAGACTTCTCCATGCAGACTGAGGAATGCCAGCTACATAGACCTTTATACATTAACTTCTCAGAGTTAGGAGTAGAAGATATTAGCCTTTGAGAACAAATTATTCTGTTTTTCTATAAATTATCACAATAAGAGTATTATTAGAATGGATTTTGAGGAAGCAATTACTTTAAATTTCTTGTAAATGATTTGCATTGCACTTAAATGCTGCTACAACTGTTATTGCACTTTCTTAAAATTCTTATATGTTAAAATAATAAACATGATTGGATTTGAGTTTTGACATGCAAAAGTCAACACTTAGCTATAATTCTGTTGCTAGGTAATTGCTCATGTTGGTATATTTGTAAAATATTAATATTTTATTATAGCTATAGATAAGAATAATATAAAATCATTTATATATTATAAATTAATGAAACTTTTTGAGGTAAGAGAACAAAATGGGTATTTCCTAAGTACCTTGCTAATTTTATTATTTTAGATAAGTAAAGATCAAAGTTTTTCAGAAGCAGAGTTTCCAGAACCTGATAGAAAAGTCGCTTTAAACATTGCACAAGTAGGGAAGCAAATTCAAAAACTTGAAGAACTGAAAAATCGCCTCAAAGAAGGATCCAAAAAGTCCTTGAAAGCCATGATGTCTAAGATCAAGTAAGTAAAATATGAGTTTATAAAACTAAAAACCAGTATGGGTATATAATTAGTATAATTTTCTTTTCTTTCTTTCTTTCTTTCTTTCTTTCTTTCTTTCTTTCTTTCTTTCTTTCTTTCTTCCTTAATTAATTAATTTTTGTTAGAGATGTCTCTCCTTTTTCCCCCGTTTACACCTTCCTCCCTGCTCCTGTTCCCTGCCATCGTATTGTTGTCTATGACCAATGGTTATGCATTTATGCAAAGAAGTTCTTTGGTTTGTCTCTTCCCATCCCCCCCCCCACCCCGTCCTCTGAGATTTGTCAGTCTGATCCTTACTTCCATGTCTTTGTGTCTATTTTGTTCCTCACCATATTTTGTTCATTATAATCCACAATAAGTGAGATCATGTGATATTTGTCTTTGGCTGATTGGTTTGTTTTGCTTAGCATAATACTCTCCAGGTCCTTCCATGTCATCTCAAAAGATGAAAGCTGGCTCTTTCCTATAGCTGCATATATTCCATTGGGTATATGTATCACATTTTTTTATATACTCAACTATTGATGGATACTTGGGCTGTTTCCAGATCTTAGCAATTGTAAATAGTGCTGCTATGAACATACGGGTACATATATTCTTTCTGATTGGTGTTTCAGGCTTCTTAGGATATATTCCTAGAAGTGGGATTACTGGGTCAAATGGCAATTCCACTTGTAATTTTTTGAGGAAATATCATATTGTTTTTCATAGTGACTGTGTCAGTCTGGATTCCCACCAGCAATGTACTAGAGTCCCTTTTTCTCCACATCCTCTCCAGCACTTGTTGTTTGATGATTTTTTGATGGCAGCTGTTCTGGCAGGTATGAGATGATACCTCGTAGTTGTTTTAATTTGCTCCTCTCTGATGATTAGTGACATTAAGCATTTTTTCATATATCTCTTGGCCACTTATATGTCCTTTTTGGAGAGGTGTCTATTTAGTTTCTCTGCCCATTTTTTAATTGTTTTTTTTTTTTTTTTTTTTTTTTTTTATCGTTTGTTGAACTGTATGAGCACTCTATATATTTTGGAAATTAACTCCTTATCTGATGCATCATTGGCAATTATGGTGTCCCATATAGTGGAATCCCTTTCCATTTCGATGGTTGTTTCTTTTGCTGTGCAGTAGCTTTTTAGTTTGATATAGTCCCATGTGTTCATTTTTCCCTTTGTTATTCTTGCCTTAGTTGTTATATCAGTGAAAATTTTGTTGCATATGATATCTGAGATTTTATTACCTACATTTTCTTCTAGAATTTTTGTGGATTCAGTGGTTACATTTAAGTCTTTTATCCATTTTGAGTTTATTCTTGTGTATGGTGTAAGCTGGTGTTGTAGCTTCATTTTTTTGCAAGTAGCTGTCCAGTTTTCCTAACACCATTTATTCAAGAGACTGTCTTGACTCCACTGTATGCTCTTGCCACCTTTATCAAATATTAATTGAGCACATTGTCTTGGGTCAATTTCTGGGTTCTCTATTCTGTTCCATTGACACAGTGGCTTTGTACTATAACCTGAAATCTGGTAATGCAATCCCTTCTACTTTGTACTTTTTCAAGATTGCTGTGGCCATTCGAGGTCTTTTTTGATTCCTTATAAACTTTTGGAGTGTTTGTTCTAGTTCTGTGAAGTATGTTGTTGGCATTTTGATGGATATTGCATTCAATCTATAGATTGCCTTGGGTAGTATGGACATTTTAATGATGTTAATCCTTCCAATCCATGAACAGGGTATGTGCTTCTACTTATTTATATCTTCCTCTATTTCTCTTTTCAGTGACCTGTAGTTATTTGTGAAGAGTTCCTTCACTTCTTTGGTTAAGTTTATTCCTAGGTATCTTAATTTTTTTGCTGTGATGGTAAATAGGATTGATTTTTTAGTTTCTCATTCTTTGATTTCATCATTGGTGTATAAGAATGCCGTCGACACTTCTGGTCAAGATGGCGGTGTAGGCAAATGCGGTATCGAGTCCTCCCACAACCACATCAAAGTTACAACTAAACTACAGAATCAAGCTGAATGGAAGTCCTACAACTACAGAATTGAAGAAGCAGGCACACCGAGACTGGTAGGAGGGGCAGAGGCGGACGAGCTGGTCATACACCCATGTGTGGCAGATAAAAATTAGGAGGACACCTCGGCTGGGAAGATCCTCCCTGCGGACTGAGGGGTCCCAGTCCCACACCAGGCACCCCACTAAGGGTTCCAGTGCCAGGAAGAGAAGCCTCCATAACTTCTGGGTGAAAAATACCAGTGGGAACTGAGGCTCAGGGAGTCTGAGGCAGCTGGAGCCCCAGGTAGCTTCTCTTAAAGCGTGCCAACATTAGGATCTTGGGGGTGCCAGAAGGAGAAGAGAGAGAACAAGAAATCAAAAACCTATTTGAAACAATAATGGCCGAAAACTTTCCTAACTTGGTGAAGAAAACATACATACAAGTCCAGGAAGCACAGAGTGTCCCAAACAAGATAAACCCCAAGAGGCCCACACCAACACACATCATCATCAAAATGCAAAAGGTTCAAGACAAAGAGAGAATCTTAAAAGCAGCAAGAGAAAAGCAGCTAGTTACCTACAAGGGAGTTCCCATAAGGCTGTCAGCTGATTTCTCAAAAGAAACTTTGCAGGCCAGAAGGGAGTGGCAAGAAATATTCAGAATGTTGAAAAGCAAGAACCTACAAACGAGATTACTCTATCCTGCAAAGCTGTCATTTAGAATCAATGGCTATATAAAGAGTTTCCCAGGCAAGGAAAAGCTAAAGGAGTTCATCACCACCAAACCATTATTATATGAAATGTTGAAGGGTCTTCTTGAAGAAAAAGATAAAATGTATGAACAAACAAAATGGCAATGAATACATATCTATCAACAATTGAATCGACAAACAAAATGAACAAGCAGAACAGAAACACTCTCATAGATATAGAGAACATTTTGTTGGTTGCCAGATGGGAGGGGGATTGGGGGAATGGGTGAAAAAGGTGAAGGGATTAAGAAGTACAAATTGGTTGCTAGACTGACAAACCTCAAAGGGAAGGGAAGTTTGGGGGTGGGAAGAAATAAACCAAAGAATTTATATGCACAACCAATGGACAGAGACAACAGTGGGGGGAAAGGTAGGAGTGGGCAGTAGTGGTGAGGAGGGGCTCTGTGGGGGAAAAAATGAGGAACATCTGTAATAACATTCAACAATAATGATAAAATAAATAAATAAATAAATAAATAAATAAATAAATAAATAAGGACTTCCGGTCAAGATGGCGGCGTAGGTAAGCGGTATCGCGTCCTCCCACAACCACATCAAAGTTACAACTAAACTACAGAACAACCATCATTCAAAACCGCCTGAAATCAAGCTGAATGGAAGTCGTACAACTACAGAACTAAGAATAAAAAAGCAGCTACATCCAGACTGGTAGGACAAAAGGCGGCACGAGGGGGGGCGGCGGCGCGGTGGCGGCGCGCGGCAGCGAGACAGGCTGGTTTCACACCCAAGTGTGGTGGATAAAAATCAGGAGGCTCCCGTGGCTGGGAAGGTCCTTCCTGAGGACTGAGGGGTCCCCGTCCCACACCAGGTGCCCCGTTCAGGGTTCCAGTGCCAGGAAGAGAGTCCCCATAACTTCTGGCTGGAAAAACCAGCGGAAACTGAGGCTCAGGGAAGCTGAGGAGGCTGGAGCCCCAGGCAGCTCCCTAAAGGGCCCGCGCACCGACTTATCGGACTCTCTCCCTCTAAGCTTGGAGGGGAGGCAGCTCGAGGGGCGCCAGAGACATACAGGGAAGAACTGAGCTGTTTGGCACTGGAGCGAGCGCTGGAGAGGGGGCTTCCTTGGGGACAAACGTGCTGTCAGAGGCCTTTGTTCCTTTGGTGAGCCCTTCCCGGGGGCGGCAGACAGAAGCCATATCTGGGACTCCAGCAACCTGGCTCACACTGGGAGCCCCGCCCTGCTGACTCCCTGAGGCCCCGCCCCGCCCCACACAACTTTCAAGTCCACCCAAGCTGTTGCCACTTGCTTAACCATAGGATTGGCCTGTCTTGGATCCTGCTTCAGGTTTTTCCTAAATTCTTTCAAAGGAGCAGCACTGGGTCTCAGCGAGCCCCATACCTCTCATTAAGTAATACACAGAAACAAACACAGGGAGGCAGCCAAAATGAGGATACAAAGAAACAGGTCCCAAATGAAAGAACAGAACAAAACCCCAATAAAAGAACTAAGCGAAAGGGAGATAAGCAACCTAACAGATACTGAGTTCAAAATACTGCTTATAAGGATGCTCAATGAACTTAGTGAGAACATCAGTGAACTTAGGGAGGGCCTCAAGAGCATAAAAAAGGACCAGTTAGAAATCATGGACACACAGTTAGAATTGAAGGAGGCATTAACTGAAATAAAGAATAATTTACACAGCTTCAATAATAGAGTATGTAAATCCAAGGAGCAAACCATCGATTTGGAATATAAGGGAGCAGAAAATCCCCAATCAGAACAGCAAAAAGAAAAAAGAATCCAAAAAAGTGAGGATATTGTAAGGAGCCTCTGGGACAACTTCAAGCGTGCCAACATTCACATCTTGGGGGTGCCCGAAGGAGAAGAGAGAGAACAAGAAATCGAAAACCTGTTTGAAACAATAATGGCAGAAAACTTTCCTAACTTGGTGAAGAAAACAGACATACAAGTCCAGGAAGCACAGAGAGTCCCAAACAAGATGAACCCCAAGTGGCCCACACCAAGACACATCATCATCAAAATGCAAAAGGTTCAAGACAAAGAGAGAATCTTAAAAGCAGCAAGAGAAAGGCAGCTAGTTACCTACAAGGGAGTACCCATTAGGCTGTCAGCTGATTTCTCAAAAGAAACTTTGCAGGCCAGAAGGGAGTGGCAAGAAATATTCAGAGTGATGAAAACCAAGAACCTACAACCAAAATTACTCTGTCCTGCAAAGCTGTCATTTAGAATCCATGGACATATAAAAACTTTCCC